TTAAGACCGCTTAAGACCAATTTGAGTAATATGTAACATTTTAATACCAATCTTTTTTTTTTCTTTTAGATAAATTAAAAAAAAACAACAAAAAAACTTGGAACAAAAATATAAAATTAACATCAGGCGTTGGTTTGGAAGGCACTTTGTCAACCTCAAAATTGGAAACCAGTTGACCTGCATCTCAATTAAGATGGTGTATGATTTTCTTTAAAATAGCGCCAAGGGTTCTTGATTTGATGTTTTCTTTATTGAAAAGAAGAAGTACTTTGCAATCATCTCTTTAATAATAATTTATTTCCCCGTGAATCACGATTCTTGATTTCCGATTGTTCAAGCACAATCTTGGAAGCAGCTTTAGAAAATTAGCGCTATTGCGGCTGACGTATGACTGATCAAGAGAATGACTTCATTACGTTCAACTATCCCATGAAGATTTAATATGATTAATAAATTAAGGTTATTTTGTTAATATTTTTGAAATGTGAAACATAAATTAAAATAGCTTCAAGCTGAATAATAATAAAACCAGCGATGAAAGTCTGTTTGGTTTCAAACTCAAGAGCAAGGGTCGGCACGTGGAACCATGATTCGCGGAAAAAAAGGAATACAATCTTATTAAATAACCCCGAAAAACAAAGTTTTTCTTATAAATCCACTATAGGCATGTTTTATTATTTCATATAGTAATATTCTAATGGCACACACACTTTTAAATCGCAGATTAATTTAGCCTCTTACTACAGTGAAACAAAAGAAATTTTCACGCAGCAAACGCAATTGCGATATTTTTTTTTTTTTTTAAGAATCTCATTTAGCTCAGTATTAGGGAGTTTGTGTTTTATTTCATGAAATTGATAGAATCATAATTCATTCATTTTTGCCCTTGAAAAACCGGAAAAAAAATGATTTTTCTTTTAGGGGCGGGGTGGGGGGTGGGGTTGAGCTGAAAATTAGATAAAATGCGTTGTCTTAAAAAACGAGTCTGTGTGCAAAGTTTTAGCTCCATAGGTTGTTGAAAAAACTGAAAAAAAATGATTTTTCTTTTAGGGGCGGGGTGGGGGGTGTGGTTGAGCTGAAAATTAGATAAAATGCGTTGTCTTAAAAAACGAGTCTGTGTGCAAAGTTTTAGCTCCATAGGTTGACGGGAAGTAGATCAATTAGATATCCGAAGATTTTACTCTCAATACACAAAAGTGAAGTTAGTACCAATGATTTTAAAATGCCTTCTTAGAAGGAAAACACGTTGTTTGCACGCTTATGGAACTGGAAATACCACTTTAGCACAATAGTATCAAAAGTTTGTTCTGTCTCAATTATGTCATGTTTGATATATATATATATATATATATATATATATATATATATATATATATATATATATATATATATATATATATATATATATATATATATATATATATATATATATATATATATAAATACATATATATTAAATCGAACAAATATTGGTATAATGTGAGTTGTCGAGACTCCACTTCAAAATGCCATACTATATTGACCACATTTAGAAGTTGACTTTATCGCACACGCTACCAAACACCTCAGTACCAATGTGACTGCAATGTCAGACATTTAAACTTAAAGATACACAGCTTATATCCTAAGTGGACACATTTTAAAATACATAAACAACCATTACACTTAGCCTACTCTTCATTACACTTAGCATACTCTTTATTACAATTAACCTACTGTTCATTACACTTAGCTCATTCTTCATTAAACTCAGCCTATTTTTCATTAAATTTAACTTACTCTTCATTGCATTTTCCCTTCTCTTTATTACAGCTAGGCTATTCTATATTACACTTAGCCTACTCTTCATTAAAATTAGTTTATATTTCATTACACTCAGCCTGCTATTCCTAACACTAATCCTACTCTTCATTAAACATAGTTAACTTATTCTTAATTACACTCACGCTAATCTTCATTAAACTCAGCCTACTCTTCATTACATTTTGGCTACTCTTAATTAGTTAGCTTATTCTTAATACACTTAGCGTATCATTCATTACCTTCGGCCTACTCTTCATTACACTTTACCTACTCTTTGGGATCAAACTTCGGAGTGTTCGCTATTGTAGCAAGTCCCAGGATGCTGCTCTGGAAATTTCGCGCAGTGGTCAGGTGGACGAGGCAGTAGTTGTTAAACCAGGAGTTGTTCATCAACGACGTCAGCACATCGTCCGCGCATATTGACGTCACAGCGGGGTCTGAGTTGAAATGAGGTCGCGGCGACCGGGTGTACTCTGTCAATATGAGAATCGTCTTGACTTTCAGGCGCATGCCGCTGAAGACTCCGAATTGAGCCCGCTTGAATATGCGGTCGGCCAGCTGGTACCAATACACGAGCATGGCTGCACTTTTATGGACGGACCCTTGACCAACCGTTAGAAAGGTGACCGTGTCCATAATGGCTAGCATGTCGCAGGTGTTACGGTAAAGGTCATTGGTAAATCGCCTGCGCAAGCGAAGAGTTTCATGGGCGTAAAGATCGCGTGAGATACTCGCTTCAGGAAAGTGTTCAGCACTTTTAGACCCAGTTGTTGGGAGATCTTCGACGAATGGCTCTCCCGTGGACTTCGTGTCGTGCCGTTCCTGATGCGTGGGTGGAAAAACTTCCGGGTTCAAGCTCAACTTGTCATTTGTCTCGCCGTGTCTGGACCAGCTGTCTTCTCGGCCTGCGCTGGCAGTGCCGTTGACACTGAAAACCCTGCAAAAGGACCTCTGGACCAGGTTTACAAATGATGTGTTGTTTCCCAGTTTTAAAGCAGTCTGTCTGAAATAAGTTTTTTCAACATTTAAAAAAAATATGTGAAATCTTAAAATCCAGAGCATTACCAATTCATTAAGGCATGCCATACCCCAACTCAACGCTCAAATTACCGCCCATTTCCTGAAAACTTTCAACATCATTCGAATTTTTTTTACCTATAAAGACAAGAATTGGGAGCTTTCTTCATGACTACCCCAAATTGTTTAATTTGTATGCACACCCCTACCAACCCCCCCCCCCCTCCCCCAAAACACCAACGTTTTAATAGGAAGAAATAAGAGAAAATATTTGAAATGAAATTTTTTTTTACCTATAAAGACAAGAATTGGGAGCTTTCTTCATGACCACCCCAAATTGTTTAATTTGTATGCACCCCCCTCCCAACCCCCCCCCCCCTCCCCCAAAACACCAACGTTTTAATAGGAAGAAATAAGAGAAAATATTTGAAATGAAATGCGATAGATAAATGAAGAAAATCCATGTCATTAATAAAAAGATTCCTCAGTAAAAAAAACAGTCACTTCAAACTATGGAGAAATCATGCTCAGCTTTTGTATGCAATTACATCGAAATTGGGGCAGCAACATTACTTTGGAAACTGTTGTGGTTTAATAATTGATTTCTCAGCTTTACTGACACCCTTCTATTGTGCAATTTTGAAACCTATCCAACACGTGACGATTGGAGCACAATCTGTAGCATCAATATGGGGGCATCCTTATAGGACGTATGCACTGAGGGGGGAAAACGGAGTGTGTCTATTTTGGGAATTTTACCAACGTATGCATTATGGCCTGGGAGAATTTTTTAAAAAATCACCATTCTGAAATTATGACAGTTCGAAATACTGAAAAATTTCATGCAGTGTATTGTCGGAATAGTCGTCATACTGTTTCCATGAAGTTTTACAAAGGAACTCACTTGAAAACTTTCAGATAGTAATTATTAGTAAAGGAATTGCAATAATATTTAGCCTGCTGTATGTTCAAAGTGCAAGTGACGTAAATAATTATTCACCCACGACTGTGTGTCCTAAAAGCTGTCGAGCGATTCTCGGAGCTTGTGCCAAATTTAGATTTTTACCAGGTGGCCTATGTTAAATTCCAACAGGTACCCTTCGAAATAACGAATACATTAGGAAATCAAATACAGGATACGATTTAGATTAATAGATCACGTGTGTATGTCACTAAGCGTCATTTATTAACGTCAAAAAACTAGTTACTCAAGTGGGTTACTGTTTGCACCAGACTGCTAGATGTTAAGACCACAAGCTGTCACAATGAATAAAAAGTTGACACAACGCCCCTGTGAGAAAGCCGAAGCTATCCATAAAGAAAAACCCAACCCCCCCTGGTGGACCAGTAAAAATACGATTTTTAATGCCCCTTGTCTTTGTGAAGTATATAGGATTTCTTAGTTTAAATCGCTATAAGCTCCTATAAAAATACGATTTTTATGCCACCTGAGTTTGGTACACACTGCTCTTTGCCCCCATCTCATGACACCCTGCGACACATCTGCTTATTGTGACGTTATAATTATATAAAGATTATTGGATTTTGTTGGTTGCTTTTTTCTGGCGAGGCGCGTGGGAGGGGGGGGGGGAATCAAGAAAGATTTAACTTTTTTTTTTGCATACACACTGTCTGTATAGCCCTTAGGTTTGTGCAAGGGATGCTGACCGCATAGGGTGACACCTGAAAGACGGTTGTTGCCAAGTGTATAATATTGCATTTGTCAGGCCTCGTTCAAATCAGATTTATAAAATATAAGAGTAGGGTGTCGTGGGATCAGAGTTCAATAAGAAAAGGGTGCCATAGCAGAGAGTACCGCCAGGGGAGGTTACCCACTAGAGCAGGCAGAATCGGAGGACATCCATGGGGAAGTCTTGAGAGTAAACCGGTAATTTCCCGCGATTAGTTACACCAACCCCAGTTATCCCACTGAGCGTAAGACAAAATAGGCTACTAGATCACAATGACGTATACAAGAACAGCTGTACGGTTAAGCTTACCGGTGATCCACCAGTAACCATTACAACAGGGGTGTGATCTCATATTATGACATTGGCCAGAAGCGCTTACAAGTCTATTTATATCTATATTGAGCTCCCACTAACCACAGGATTTCTTTTCTACGTGTCCAACAACTCTCACCTGTAGATGACCATATCATGACGTGCACCCGACGCATCGTGTTTATGTAGCGGCTCAATGAAGAAGCTGTCGTGCGGCGTCTGCACATGCGCAGACCACACACCTCCTATGTGCGCGGCGTCAACAAAACTGGACCGCTGACCCATCACACGTCCCTCGTAGAAAGCATCTTCCCTCAGCTTATGGTAAGTCACTTTGCCGGAAGCGTCCATCAGTTTCACCTCAAAGTCCATCGGATCAATTACCGGAGATCCTGGCTTCAGGGTTATATTGAACTGGTTACCCAGGGCAAAGAACTTGAGAGATTTGAACACCACATGACCTGAGGCGGAATCCCTCTTGACGCGGACTCTGATGCTTGATGGTTTTAGGATCTCAAAATGGCTAAATTTTGTGTGAATGCTGGCGTTTAACATGTAAAGTAACATAATGGCATACACATATGTATTAATGAGGGCTCTCATTGTCGATGAACTGCCGGAAGGCACAAATTTTCTTCAACAGCTTTTAAAAAGGAGGTACGGCAAAGCTGCAGCAACAGCTGTTAGAAGATACAATGGGGAAGATGGATTTAGCTGTAGAAATGAATATGAAAAGAACTTAAATGAATATGAAAAGAGCTTTGTCCTTTGTGGCTTGAATAGACACGGCGGTCAGAGATACATGCGGAGAACCTTTCTAGCGAGCCAACTTCCTTATTCAATGTATTCTCCAATGATTTTCTCTCGTGGGATAATAGCATTTTTTCCTTTCTTTATTTAGTTTTAGCTGACACGAATGTTGTTCAGGAGCGATTCAAGGTTTAGCGTTGACCTACCGTGTGCTTGATGCATGAATAGATTTTCTACTTTGCCTACATTCGAGAAGCTTTGAGTTCATTATGGGATAGGTTTAGGGAGGATAATAATAGAACGAGAAAAGTTTATTAAATAAGGAAACAGCATTGTCAAACGATGTTAAATATAGAACTTTGGTGGGCGCGTTTACAAATAAAATTAATGGTGTAGAATTGGAACTTTTGTTACGTGGAGAAGTTAAGTGTGCATTTTGTGATACTGTAAGTTGGTAAGGGAAGACGGCCCAGAGGGGAATATGTTAAGGGCTGATGCCCCTAGATGGGAATACGGTAGGGGCTGATGCAGGGCGCTGGGTGACCGAGTGGTCTAAACTGAGCAAATATCAAGTTGATGGTCTGGCGTTCAATCTCCACCAAAGCCAAGCCAAGCAAAAACATCACCATCATGGATTATACTCGTATGGAACCTCATCTAAGAGTAAGAAACTCTGAATTCAAACCCGGAGCTGGAGAACCGTAGGCAGATAATATTGGTGCAATGAAAAATTCCGACAAATCCTGCGACGTCACTGGTGCCAAGATGCACATGATGTTCCCTCCTTGGGTTATCTAGCAGCGGGGAGAGAGGCGATTTGCTGTTGAGAACAAGCTTATAAATCTTAAAAGAATAATTCCCAGTTCCTGTGGACTCTTCACCATCATCACATTGTGACGGGGAATACTGTAAGGGCTACGGGCTAATGCCCTAGACGGGGGCAATAGCCCGTATACGGTTGGAAAACGGTTGGAATACGGTTGGGGCGTTTGCGAACCTGGCGATGGGAGCACTAATTGAAAATCTTGAAAAGTGCGTTACCGAAGTGCAAGTAACATAAGTAGGTTGTGAGGTTTCCACATTGCAACTGTCCGCATTCGGCGGTTTATACCAGTATACTTGTATTTCATGAAAATGTGAGGTTACGTGGCTGAAATTTAAACAAAATATAATTGAAGGGGCCGGCAATTGTCTCAGAAAAGAGGGGGCTGTCTGGGGGATTCGTTTGGGAATGAGTGAGGGGCGACTTCAAATTGTTCTATCTTCTATTAATTTAAGACACCAACGCGATCCATGGCTACACAGGGTAGATAGTATTTGGGTGTGTGTTTGCTAATTTTTATGTGAAGCGCAGTGAACTTAGACCTAAGCTGGGGGTCTGCACCATATAAAACAACCTAATGATAATAATACTATTTACATATTATGTCGAATGTACGAATGCGCACTTTCTGTTGTTGAAAATCAATGGATGCATTCTTGTGTTGAACGGAATACTTAGCTTCCATTTAACTCTTAGCTTAGATCAAATGAAATTACCAATGAACTCACATCTTTTCGTTTATTCTGATTCTCAATAAGAAACTAATGAGAAGAAGTCTCTTGTTTTATAAACAATATTCATAATTTTATATCTACTTGGTACACTGATTATTTCATAATATTTTTATTTATTTATTTATTTTTCATTAAAAATTGCAGTTTTTATTACGCAGGCATTTGATATGATGACAAGGTATGCATACTTAGCAGCAAATATTTACCAGTTAATATATATATATATATATATATATATATATATATATA